TTCAGAACTTGAATTCTCCCAGTGGTCTAAAGGCGCCTTCGTTATTTGTGACTTTGCTTTGACTTGGACATCTGTCCTGCATGCTATTCAGGCACTGAAGCCGACAGAGAGGGCAGGTAAACAGAAAATCTGCCTGCAAGTCAATTACTGACTTGATTTTCTGAAGGAGAAACCAAGGTATCTAAGGTTTATTGATTTGCCTATAGTGATTCAGTGAGTCGGTAGGGAATAGGAAAGAAAACCAATTTCCTGGCATCGGTTCCCAAGTACACAACCCCTTACCTTGCAATACCTGGACTGCAAGCCAAGAAGCCATCTCAGGGAATTTGATGAGAAAACATATGACGGGTGATTCTGAAACCACAGAAGCATTGAAAAAGTCATAAAGATGTATAATATATGATAGCATCTACCAGCTATGAATAGGGAAATGCAGAGAGAAGACTAGAGAACTTGTAAATCCATTGGGTCAAGAGAAATAGAAACTGCTTAATATTTCATTAAGAATGGATTTCCATAAATTGCACTTTGATGTCTTTGGGCACAAGGCAGTGTGTAGGGACCAAGGCGTTGTTATTCATTACTCTTTGTTATTAATAATTTGAACTGTTATTGAACCAACACATCAACAAGGTGTATTCTCCCTAGGAAGTGGAGCACTCGTTCTGTGCACTGTCTGAAGTATATTAAAGACCTCAGCACGTGTCCATAAAAGCACTTAGATTCTAAGGGACAGCGGGTAACTAAAATTCCTCTGCTATAAATGGGACACTCCCGGGGCAGTTTGAACTGTGTGCTAGATTGTAAAGCCCTTGTAAAGAAAGCTTTAGGATCTGGGGGTGGAAAAGGCCTTCAACTGTACGAACACTTTACTTAGCAGGCGAGAAATCTGGGGCTCCCAGGAGGTAATGACATTTGCCCACACTTATGGGCTAATTAGCAGCAGAATCTGTCTCCTGTTCAGGGGGGTGTGTGTGGGGGGGTGTTTCCCTTCAGTGTATCATGCTCACAGCGAGAGTGATGTGATAACATTTACTAAAATATGATGGCATGCCTTCAGCCAAGGATCCGGCGAGCTGAGGGCAGATATGAACACAAGGTCAAGATCGAAGCAGCAATGAGGAAGGTACTAGTTTAGGAAACACAAAAAATAACTTGAAGCCAACTCTTCAAAGGGCCTTCAGTTGAGAAAAGCAGAACACAGGTCAAGTTCAATTTGAACAGCCAGGTAGTAGCTCAGTTGCTCATTTCCCTGATCGGTGACTGACTGGGAGACCCAGTCAGAGCCTGTGGCCATATGCAGCCTTGAGGCCACCAGCCCCTGCCTTAGGCACATCCGTACAAGTGTGTGCACACACATGCCTCTGTGCAGACACACTCGTGCACAAACCAGCATTCCCCAAGGCAGTCCAGGGATGCAATCATTTCTTTACTGAGAGGAGGAGGGTGGGGAGAGAGAAAAGGTTTCTTAGAGTTGTCTGCCAGAACTGAGAAATGAAGGGGTCAGATAAGATAAAATTGGAAATTAAAAACACATAAAACGTGCTGTGTTTCTAAATAGTACCAGCATGGTGTGTGTGCTGTGGATTAGCAGCTGGGGTAAAGTTCAAACCTCTCCAAAGTCCAATTATGTATTTGCGTGGCTAAGAAAGTCCCCTTACCCCTTATGAGTGAGTTTGCTAGCATCTCCTGACAGAGGCCACACACGCACACAGTCACCATCCCGGTCCCCAGAGCCTAACCGTCAGGGGTGGCCCCTGCAGCTCACATCGCCCATCCTAAGCCAGCTGAGTGTTGCATTTGTCTCTTCTCTGCCAAAAGAAAACAAAACAAAAGCAAATGGAAAACCTCTGGCCCGCGCTGAATTCTGGGAGAACTGATTCGTCTCCTCTCCTTGGATTCGGTTCCTCCTTCCCTTTCTCAGAGCAGCAGAGCCTCTTAGCAGCCCCAAGGAGACCAAAGAATGAGAACAGAATGGCCAACACTTTCCTGGAAACCTGTCCCCCCCCTCTTCATCCCTCTCTGGGGCCAGCAATTCCTCTTTCCATAGACCTGCTCCGGCTCCAGCTCTTTCCTTCTATCTCCTTGCACCCTGTTGCTGTCTTTTGCACCTAAGTGACCCTGTGTGCGCAGTTCTCACAGGGTCTCCAAGACCGTGAGCATTCAGAAGCTGGTCCCTAGGCTTGCATTCTGAAGCATTCCTGGGTCATTTCAAACTGCCAGCCTTTCAGGTCACACAGAGAACTCGTTCCTAATCCCCTTGCTTTCTCACTCCTCCTTAACTTCGGGAAGGCAGCAAAATGGAATCAGAGGCAAGAGAGCTCAGCAAGGCGAAGTCGAGGAAGCCAGCTGATGGCCTGGGAACGGGGCGGGGCGGGGTGGGGGTGTTGCTTTGGGGGGGGAATGGGGAAAGAGCTGCAAGCTGGGCAGGCTGGTGGGAAGCCTCCAGATTGGGGGGGGGCGGAGCTTAGCATCAGGAACTAGGGATTTAAACTGAATGTGGTGAGCTAGTGAAAACCTCCTCATTCCTATCTTCTCATCTGGTCCAGAGCAAGCCATTTCCCATCATTTGACAGAAAAATAGGCCAAATCCATTGTCCTTTATCGCTACCCTCAGTGATCTGTTGATAAATGGCTCTAACTTTTAACCTTCGAAACTCAAAACAGACTTCCTGTCATAGAGTGGATTCCAACTTGTAACAACCCTCCATCAGGACTCTGGAGCTGCCATAACGGGAGGATGGCAGAACACCCATCTTCCTCCTGTGAAGCCACTGGTGGATTTGAACCACTAGAGACACACAGCTTCTTGGTTAGCAGTGAACCCCACTATGAACTATACCAGAGTTCCTAAATCTTAAAACTCATCGCCATTGAGTTGGAACGAACTCAGAGGTGACCCCTTCTCCCTGCCCCAAAATGACTTACAGATGCTATTAATCACTTGAGAGGAGATTGGCCATTTTTCTTATAAAGAACTGCTGTTGGATTCAAACATTCCAGAGAGGCATGGCTTTTGGATTAGCAGTGTATCTCCTTTTCTCCCTACAGAGCTTCCTTAACCTATTTTGTTGTTAGGTGCCATCAAGTAGACTCGTAGAAACCCTTGATGAGCCAACCTGTGCCATCCTCAACATCTCTGAAACACTTAAGTCCATTGCTGAAGTCACCATGTCACTCTATCTCATTGGGGGTTTTCTTCTCCTTCACTGACCGCCTCCCATCTTTCCAAGCCTGTTGTTCCTCTCCAGTGAATAGCCTTGCCCAGCTGCATACCCAAAGTGGGAAGTAGAGAGAGTTCAAGGTGGAGTTCAGAATTGTACTTCATGGAGAAGAAAGGTCTGTGTTGTTAACTGACTCTAACATCTGTGCTGCCTTTGCTATTCCCGAAGCAAAAATGCCTTACTGTGTTCTAAAAGGTTGTTCTGAGGAGACACAGAGCAGCTCTATCCCTGTTCTGCTCCTGTTTGGAGATTTTAAGAACTCCATGATCATAGACATCAATAAAAACACTATAAAAGTATTGAAAGAGATGAGGACCAATCTAGATAACCACAAGCTCAAAGCCCACAGACATGGCAAGGTATCTGATATCTGAGTACCTCTGTTTTCTCATAAATAAAGTTTAAATAATAACTCCCAGGGTAATCCAGAGGAAACTCTGGTATTATAGTCCTCAGAGACTTTTCACTGCAAACCAAAAGGGCTCACTTCTCCAGTGATTTGAATCCACCACAGCTCCAGGGAAGAAACATAAGACAGTCTCCTCCCATTGGCATTTACAGCCTTGGAAACCCAACGGAGGGAATATTATGAGTTGGAACCAATTTGATGGAAGTGAGTGTGAGTTTTTGAGGGTGCTCTAGAGATGACTGTTGTCTGCACAGTGTCTGCTCAGACATTCATTCAAATGTGCCACTTTCCCCATTCCTCGTGTCCTCGCTGTCAATGCCCTCAGCACTCAATGCAGTATCTTGGGTTGAGACGTTGACATCCCCTGCCCAGGAGAAATTACTGGGTGTTGCAGTGGAACATGAGTAACTTGATGGTTATAGGTAGAAAAGGTATGATTAAGAAGTGATGTTTGGCTGTTTGCATTTTCCCCTCCACTTTTATCTGGGAAACCATATATACTTACTCTGGTTACTTTCTTTTTTTAATGGACAACACTAAAAAAGCCCAAGTTCCATATGGCAGTTATTGATTTGAGCCATCTGGTAAGTTAAAACTTGTACCTACCATGTTGGATCAGAAGCTAGTTGGAAAAGCCATCCCTCCCATAAGAGCTGTACTGGTCAGATGGGGACAGGGATGGATTTCATTAGAGGGCGGTGACTACAGCAAAAGGAAGCCAGAGCAGGACTCCAAGGGACCCTACGCAACCCTGACAGACAACAAAGAACAGAGAGGACCGCACTAGGGTTGACTGATGCAGGGACACCAGGGAAGGCTTGTGCCCCTTCAGCCATTCATGGCTCAGGGGAGGCCTTTAAAGAACTAGCAAAAACAATTGTGAAGCACTTTACAATTTTAGAATGCCTGGGAATATCCTTACAGGCCTGCAACATGAGCAAGCAGGAGTGTCAAATTCAAATTACCGAGTAAGGTCAGCTACCCTTCAAGGCTGAACATTTCCTCTTTATTTTTTAGAGTATTCACTCTAGTCTCTTCTCTCTCTCTCACTTTCTTTATTCTGCAGTGTTTTCCTTTTCAAGCCTCCTTCCTCTAGTTGCTCTCAGCCTAGAGGCAACATTTTCCTTCCCTCCAAAAGTTTTTGTGAAAGCCATTTATTGTCTTCAAGTTCGAACCGTGTGAGAAATTCATTTTTTTCCCAAGCTGTTTCTAAAAAAGCCCCCAAAACAACAAACCTCCTGATTATTTTTAAACTTGAGGGAAACAAAACTCAACTGAACTTTCCCACTTGCTTCAGAGAGAAGACTACTCCAATAATAAAAGCACAAACAGATTTCAGTGAAGTGGTGCCGTGTCTCATGTTACAGATATTCCAGGCCAACAACGACGCCACTGAGGTCGTTCTGAACAAGCTCCACACGCCGCTGCTGACGAGGTTCGTGAGGATCCGGCCTCAGACCTGGCACTCAGGCATCGCCCTCCGACTAGAGCTCTTTGGCTGCCGGGTCACAGGTGAGCTGGGGACCTCGATGAAGTTGGAAAGATGGTTGGGGTCCAGGCTCTGCTCCCTTTTTTCAGTTCTCTACATCAGTATCACTGCACCACATGATCTTTTCAGAAGATTGACCCAAGAGCGCAAGTCTTGTCAGAATTCATCTTTCATTTATTCCATACGTATGTTGTTATTGTGTGCCATCAAGTTGGAACTGACTCATAGCTGACTCTCCAGAGAGCTTAGAGAGAGAGTAAATTGGAGGAGATTGACCATTCTTCTCCCATAGAACAGCGAATGGATTTGAACCATGGGTCTCAGGTGTTGCAAGACAGTTTCTTACCACTAGGCCAGCAGAGCTCCCTATATACATGTATTATGTACGTATTAAGTCAACTCAACTCATTGCCATTGAATAGGAACCATCTCGTAGCTAATTGGTTTCTGAGGCTGTAAATCTCAAGAGGGGAGATTGATGGTCTATCTTCCTCCCAAGGAGCCCTGGATTCAAACCATCAGGGAGGCACAGTCTTTGGGTTAGCAGCACAACACGCTGTGGACTATGCCACCAGAGCACCTCTGTATATAGTATTATAGTAGATGCTTATATCGGAAGCATCTACTATCATTTCCATTAGCTAATATTTGTCGTTGTGAGGTGTCCTGGAGAGGGTGAAACCAAGTTGCTCCTTGGAAGCAAGGATTTTGACACTTTGTCTCCCGTACTTTGGACATGTAGCCAGGACTGACCAATCTTTGGAGAAGGATATCATGCTTGCAGGGGTCAAGGGACAGTGCAGGAGAGGAAGACCCAGGATGAGATGCACTAACACAGTAACTGGGGTAATGGAGTGTGAGAGACAGTGAGATTGGCTCAGCATAGGGCAGAGTGCACTTGGTCACTATGAGTCATTGTCAACTCAACAGCACATAGTAACAGCAACAAGATGCCATTGAGTCTGCCCTGATTCACAGCCACCCCGTGTATAACAGAGGAAAGCGCAGCCTGGTCCTCCACCATTGTTCTTAGAGTCATGGTTACGTTTCGGTCCATTTTTGCAATCACTGTGTCAACTACCTGCCTTGCAGTTCCTCCTCTTTTTTTCAGCCCTTTGACTTGATCAAGCATAATGAACTTCTCCAGGAATCAGCCTCTGCTGATGATGTGTTCACAGTAAACGAGACGAAGTCTTGCCCTCCTCGCTGCTGTGGAGGGTTCTGACTGTACTTCCTCTCGGAGACTTGTTCATTAACATTCAGTAAATGTTAGCTAAGATTTGAATGAATAAATCTTAGCTCGCGTTTACGAAGGGATTGCCGGTGCTAGAGTCCTTAGAGCATCACTCTGCTAATCCCAAGGCCTCGCCTCGCCTGGTGGTTTGAATCCACCAGTGACTATAGGAGAAAGTGAGCAGTCTCCTCCTGTCCAATGTATAGCCTGAGAATCCTGCTGGAGGGCCAGCTTGGTGGCAGTGAGTGAGCATGTACTATGAGCGAGGTTACACTCTAAGAACAAGACATGTTATTTTGTATAATTGTATAATTTTTATAAGATATCTATTAGGTAGGTATTATTGTTCTCTTTACAGATGAGGAGAGGGAGACTTACAAACCTAAGTTGCACAGCCAGTAAGCAATGGAGCCAGAGTTGAGTCTAAGATTGAATCCAGGACCTCTCTTCTCAAATAATATTCTCTACTCCCTCCAGTGGGCACTATTTATTCCTGTCTTCCCCCACACCCTCATTTGGGCCACAGGTACTCGTCGAGGGCATGCTGTGTGTGAACTTCTTTCCTGGTACCTAGGGCCAGGGATAAGAGCAAAGGATTTGGGACTTTCAGGCTAGCAATCAAGATATCCAATGAACATATACAATAAGTAAATGAAAAAGGGTTTTAAAATGCAATGAATATATTCAAGTCATGTTGTTACTGACATCAAGTTGGAACCAGCTCATAGCTGACCCTCCAGTGGGTTGTTAGAGGTCTTTAATTGTACAACAGGAGACTGACGATCTTTCTCCTGAGGAGCCACTGGTGAAGTCAGACCAGCAGGGAGAGGCCACTTTTAGGTTAGAAGTGCCACTAACTCCCTATGGACCACACCATCAGAGCTCCTCTGATAGAGGCGGGTATGGGGTAACCATAGTCTAGGATTTGCATCTGAGGAAAGGTGCAGGGCACTTGGAGAATGAGGCCTGAGGAGCCCAGATTCACTGTTGATTGGAAGGTTGGGCACCTTCTTTCTGAAGATGTGAGACGTGGGCTTGGACTGAGTCAAGGCTAGTCTGGTGATGAGAAGAGCATTGTGGGGAGCAGAGACAGCACGTGGAGAGGGCCTGAGGCAATGAAGAGCTCTGATAGCCCGTGGAGCCAAGAAGTGGCCTGATACTGGCCCCAGGACAGCTTTGATCGAGTTGGTCAGATGACCACCCAGTGAGCAGCTCAGTGCCCCCAGGAAGGTCAGAAGGGCCTGGTGTTACCAGCAAGAATATGTCAGAGCTTCACTCTGAGGAGTCCTTGGCATCTGGTAGAACTGTAAATATGAACAGCTAGCAGTGCCTCACACTATTCTGTGCACTTTCCTATAGTAACTAATGGAATATTAAGAGAGCTCTGGTGGCCTAGCGGTAAGGAATTGTACTGCCAATCTAAGGACAGGTAGGTTGAAACCACTGGCTGTTCCATGGGAGAAAGATAGGCAGTCTCCTCCTGCGTGATTGTTTGCCTCTGTAAACCCACTGGAGGGTCAGCTATGAGTCGGTTCTGACTCCATGGTACACACCTCCAACAGCAATGCAATCCTAGCCACAATGCCACAAGATAGGTAGTGCTATTATCCTTGCTTTTAAGCTCAAAATCTCATTGTTGTTGAGTTGGAACAAACCGATAGCTAACCCTCCATTGGGCTTCCTGGGCAAGCTGAGGCACAGAGTGATTGAGCAACTTACCCATGGCTGGGCAGCTAAGTGACAGAGCCAGGGTGTGAACCTAGGCAGTCTGGCACTGAAGTCTGTGCTCTTCCCCACTTTGCCACAGTACTGTAAAGGGAAAAGGGACCAGTCTTGATCTAAGGGGCTTGATGGCCTGGTTCTTTGTTAGGTCCGCGGATGGAGTGGTCCTTAGGCAGCAGGGTGCCGTCTGTGACCTCTTGTGTCCTCCTCCCGTCTTGCAGACGCGCCCTGCTCCAACATGCTAGGCATGCTCTCGGGCCTCATCGCGGACTCACAGATCTCGGCCTCCTCCACGCGCGAGTACCTGTGGAGCCCCAGTGCCGCCCGCCTGGTCAGCAGCCGCTCCGGCTGGTTTCCTCGCATCCCTCAGGCCCAGCCGGGTGAGGAGTGGCTGCAGGTGGACCTGGGAGTCCCCAAGACTGTGAAGGGTGTCATCATCCAGGGCGCCCGAGGAGGAGACAGCATTACTACAGTGGAATCCCGGGCGTTTGTGCGCAAGTTCAAGGTTGCCTACAGCCTAAACGGCAAGGAATGGGAGTACATCCAAGACCCCAGGATCCTGCAGCCGAAGGTGAGCCACTCCTGAAGGACTCTGTCCCCTTGTCCTGGATGGGGAGGCTCAGTGGGTGGTAGGGAACCAGAGGGGCTGCCAAACCCCTATAAACTTAATAATGCTAGCAAGACAGCAGGTATCATTTGAGAGATTACTTTGTGCCAGCCATTGTCCTAACTGCCTCATTCAGTCTTTCAATCCTCTCCTCATTTCTGTAAAATAGATCTTCTTATTGCCTCTGTTTTCAAAATGATAACGCTGTGACTTGCTGTCTTGCTCAGGGTCACAGGTTATCTCCCTGTGGCAGAGTCATGCTTCAGGCACCCTGTGTCTGCATCCACACCCCAGGCACCTAGCGCTGTTCGGCTCTGCCTTTTTAGAAAGTTTTACCCCTTTCTACCCTCTTTGAGATAAAGTTTCCCAGAAATTGGCCAGGCAACCAAAAGGGATGTGGTTTTCAGAGACTCAGTTATAGAAACTAGGGATTTACTTCCAAAAATAACTATGTTTTCCTGGATGTTGCTGCATGCCTTTGTATTTTCCAACTCTTGACTGCTTAGATCTTTCCCACCTCTCATACTGAGGACAGAAGCAACCAGGAAAAAACTTCCTGTGGGTCATAAGTTCACGCTGGCACCTCAGGCCCTCCTGCACCAGAAGGGTAAATGTGGCCTTGATTCAGGGACCTCCCAGGAGCCCAAGGTGGCAGATCTTGTCTCCATCCCTCTCTTGGCTATTCTTCTGGTTAGCCTAGCTTCTGTATCCTCATTTCTAACTTACCCTTTGTTGTTATAAGATGAGCAAGTACTTCCCAAAAGAAAGAGATACCCCATGGCCATGTTCAGCCATCATGGGTAAACAAATATGTCCACTCTGAATGCAGAAGCAAAGGCTTGGGTGGAGGTTGTGCTGTGTTGATGTCAGTGTTCCACTCACAGTTCCAGAGGCTTGGAAAGGCTCAGAGCTTGGTAACTAGAAGCAACTGTTGGCCACAGGCTTCCCCAGAGAGAACTAAACCTGGCTCTCCACCATTCGAGGGGCCTGGGAAAGGAATGGTCCTAACTGGCATCAGAGCCTGCCCTCTCCTTTTTAAAATTATTAGTTTGGGGGCATCTTACAACATGGGATGGTCTTCCAGCATCCCTGGAGGTTCTCAGCTACCTCTAACCCTACCATTTGCCTAGATCAAGATATGCCCTGGGTCTATATGCCCAGGAGGCTTCATCTGGATAGCTCTACTCTGGTCATATTGGCACACTGGGCTCAGACTGTCAGAGTGTGACCTTTGTCCTTGGCAGAGGAGTGTCTGTTCTCCCTTAGGGCTCCAGCCAATTCCCAACTGTCTTCATTCTGCCCACATCTTCAGGCTCACTGGACTCCCTAAATCTCAATATTACCATGAAAAAATAAGCCTCGCTTCTTCCCTGTACAGAAGACTTCCCAGTAGTCAGGCTAACCTCAGCTGCCACCTCCTCTCTTTGAATTGTTCAATCTAAGATGCTTTCTGAATTACTATTTCCACAAATCCTCAGGATAAAACAGAGAACTCAGGAATTGCTGCTTTTTGCTCTTTATTCTCCTTGTTCCTGGGTCCTTGCCACCTTTCCTAGTGAATAAAAAGCCTGTCCTGAAGATGGAGCTCACATCACAGGTGGGCCCTATGGGTCATAATGTCCCAGTGACAGTAAATCAGCAGCCGTGATTCTAAGAGGATCTGAGGAACAGAGAGAGAATGGAGAGGGAAAGGTTTGAAAAGGAGGAGAGGGGCCACCTAAAGACAGGAAAACGATGAACTGAGCAGCCTGTCTCCCCTGCAGCTGTTTGAAGGGAATATACACTATGACGCTCCAGAAATCCGGAGGTTTGACCCCGTCCCAGCACAGTACGTGCGGGTGTACCCAGAAAGGTGGTCTCCAGCGGGAATTGGAATGCGGCTCGAGGTGCTGGGCTGTGACTGGACAGGTAAGGCCTCTTTCCTTCTTGGGGCTCATTCATGCCATCTCTGGCTTCTCAGGGTCTTCTTGGAGAAGGTTAGACTTGGGGAGGGCCTGAGGGTTCTGAGGGCCACCATCCGTGGTGAGCTCCTCACCCAGTCCATGACATGTCCTCCTGCCTCAGCCAGGGGAACCGCAGCCGCTGGGCCCAGCACAGCTTCTGAAGGGGTGTGTTTGTCTGTTCCCAAAGACCTCCACAGCTCTCCAATCCGAGTTTTTCTAAAACAAATCATAACCACACATCACCCACCCAAATTCAATTAGACCCTGCCTCTTCAGGCCAGAGGGCTGGGGCTGTTGTTTTAGGGAAGGGGAAAAAAACCCCTCATGATAATAAAATAATCGGTTTATGTCTGAATCTGGTCTCCAGATGTCAGTGGCTAAGAGACTTCACTTTAATTTGAAGCCACATCTGTAAAAGGCATTTATTTGCTCAGGAGGGACTCTGTCTTGGGGAAGCTGACAGGAATAGGACTTCTCCTCTGTTTGCAGCAGGAGCTTTGGTCATTCATGTCCCTGAGCAGAGACCACAGACTAGAAACATCTCTGATTCTCCCTACTGAGAGCAAGGCTCGCCAAAGGTACCCGCTGTCTGACTCGGGCCCTGCCTTCCCTCAGTGCCTCCTGCTCCACCCTCAGGGCTGGGCTGGCCTACGTCTCACAGAGATCAAGCATTGCCTGCCAGAAGGGCTGTGGGGCAGCCGCTTGGGCTCACGAAGACTGAGCCCAGTGGCAGTGGGAGCAGCAGGCGGTCAAGCTGCCATGCCCCTCCTATCCAAGGCCCCAGGTATCTCCGGTTCCCTGTCTGCTCCCTGCCTGTCACCAGCATACCCAGCAGTGCACCATGAAGCCTTAATAAGAACTTGTCAGAGTCATGCTGCTAACTCCCAGGGAGAAAAGTGCAGTCAGTGGAGGACCCCCACCAAGGGGTGAAGGCGGGGACTTGAGCCCACATGCGCCTGGCTCATCTCTGGAAGGAGGGCAGCCCCAGAGAAAACAGTTTAGTAGGAAGGTGTGGTGTACCCCTGTGATAGAGGGGCGAGGCCCCGTTTCCTTGCAGCCTGCTAAATGTGCATCACTTTTCCCCTGACCAGGGCTTAACTCCCCCTTTCCAACAGAGTCAGGAGCTGGTGTCCTGGCCTTCTCAGAATCAGGGAATGGGAGCTGCAGGGGAACCTCCAGCACAGTGACTTCCAAATGTTTTTAATCAAGTCCCACAACTTGAATTAAAAGTAGGTCACAATCTAATTTATTTACATAGACATACACACATGCGCAAACACTCGCGCATAAATACTCATGCATGTGGGGTGTGCTGTTGGTAGCCATGCCCTAGTTAGCATTGGACTCACGGTGACCCTGAACACAACCGGATCAGACTGTGATCCGTAAGCTTTTCACTGGTTGATTTCAGTCGTAGAAGATTACCAGGTCTTTCCTCCTAGTCTCTGTTGGTCCGGAAGTTCCACTCTAACCTGTTCAGCATCATAGCAGCAGTCACTCTCCACTAACAAATGGTGGCTGCACTGGAGGTGCCTTGACCAGACATCAAACTCAAGTCTGTGACATGGAAAGTGAGAATTCTATTGCTGAACCATCACTGTCCCCATATGTGGTGTGGCGTATCATTAGTGCAGGGGTACAGGGGACCAATCACCCCACTCAATTACCTGCTTCTGCAAGTCACTGACTGCAGAACCTCAGACAAGTACTTAGTCTCTCAGCACCCTGGTGATTTCAGTGAAGACTGAGGAGAACTATAGTATATGTATACCTCCAACTGTTTGAATTTAGAAGGCCTGGTTGGCCTGGGGATAAGAAGCTGCACCGTGATCCCAAAGGCACACGGTTCGAATCTACCAGTCACTCTGCAGGAGAAGGATGGGCAGTCTCCTCCCATGTTATTTATTCTGAACACCTACTGGAGATTCAGCGAGGAGATGGTTCCAACTCAAGAGCACACAGCAACGACAGCTCTTGGAATTGGAGCTCTGGTGGCGTAGTCCACAGAGAGCTAGCCTGAAGGCCATTCTTCCCTGACAGTTCAGATCCACCAGCTGCAATCTGGGAGAAAGATAAGCAGTCTCTTCCTGAGCCGCTGAAGGGTCAGCTGTGAGTTGGAACTGACTGGATATTGATGGGAGAGGTCTGGTGACGTAGTCCATAGGGCATTGCTTCAACGGAGGAGGATGCACAGTCTCCTGTGTGATTTACAGCCTCTGAAAGCCTGTTGGAGGGTTGACGTCTTCCTCACTCATCAATGACAGTGTTGGGATCAATAGTAACTTCTTGTTTTTGTTGTTGTTGATTGCCTTCAGGTCAAGCACAACTGATAGAAACTTTTGAACAAAAGGCCTGAAGCCCATCTACATTGACATTTATCAAAGTTCATAGAGTTTCCAGAGGCATGTTATTTAGGAATTGGATGCCACTCCTGCTTCCATAAGTAACTAGCTACAACAAAGTATTGTTATAAACTGGTTAGGTAGGGAGGTTGGTATAAAGATTAAGATAATGTTTATTAAAATCTTTGACATAGCAAATGTGTCATAATGTGTAAATATAATGAAGCAGAAGTTTCTGAAGCAATCCTCCTTATTACCATATGTAGTGCATGAGAAAATAGAATACATGTTTTTTAAATGCTGGGCTTGGCATTGTAAATTGATTTTACAACCTACTGATAAACCGAGGCACAGTTTGTTATTGTTATGTGCCATTGAGTCAGAACCCCCTCATAGCTTACCCTCCAGTGAGTTTTCAGAGGCTATAAATTGCACGAGAGGAAACTTCCCATTTTTCTCCTATGGAGCAGCTGGATTCAAACCCCATGCCTTTGGGTTGGCAGCACAACTCCTTACCCACTAGGCTACCAGAGCTGGCCTGTGAAACCATTTGGGAAGTGTGGATTACACCAACCTCTGTTTTACAGACAGGGAAACTGAGGTGCAGAAAGAGGAAGCTACTTGCTGTAGATCATTCAGCTAGTTGGGGTCCACTCAAGTCCTCACACACCCCTCCTCTTCCCTGCCCATCTGCACCAGGCCTCTCCCAGCCTGACCAGCTGGATGGTCACTCATGGCCTCTTCCCCTTGTTACCCCACTCCGGCCCCTCAAACTGCCCCAGTTCACTGATGGTCCACAACAGGTTTCTCATTTCAAAGCCCAGCCTGGCTATCCTGGGAAGATCAGAGTAGAGGCGGCAGGCTCAGCCCTGCCCAGCCTCCTTCCCTTTGAAGTCTCCGACATCTGGTTTCAATTGCTGTGTGACGGGCAGTTACCTCTCAGTGCCCAGTACAAACACAGGGGACACAGTGCTGTCTGCCGCTTCCTCACTTTCATTTACATGCCCGGCCCTTTCGTTACCTCACTGGCCCTGGTTTAACATCATCCCTACCAAACAGCTTACCCACTTTACTACCTGACATTTCCAGAAGCTGTTCTCCTAGACCATGTGGCTTTAAAAAAAGAAAATAAAATTATAATTTCCATCCGTTCCTGTGACTCAGCCCTGTCTTAACTTCTTCATTCCTGTCCCAAAAAGGATAATAGGGAAAATAAGGGGCTGGGTTGAGTTCCCACAGCTAAGTAATTTGACAGGGCTGCCTCACCTGTTTGTTTGTTTGTATTTCCACTGATTGCTTCTTGCCTGACCGCCCATAGTTTGCTTTACAATTGAGTTTGAGGTTCTGTGACACAGTGACAAATTTGAACTTACAAATTAAGGTGCTTCGAGGTGATTTGCTATTTACTGTGAGCTAGAGGCAGACATGGAAGAGGGAGGTATGAAAGGTTATGTGCGTAATGTTTAATAGCAGAAAGGTGGGAAGTGGACCATGAAAAAGCTATTCAGCATATTTGGCTATTTCCTCCAGCTCCTGGCTTTATGAAATGGTATCCTGAAGGGTGCCTAACAAAGGTGCCTAATGACATACAATAGGGCCAGGAGCGTGTATAGAAACGGGAAGAACAATGCCCGCCCTTATTTGGGGCATCTTATTGGAGGGCAGCTCTGGGATGAAGACACCACCCTGCAACACTTGAACTTGAACCCCGGTCACCAGAAACCCTGACTCATAGCAGTCATTCATTCCCTGAATGGCTGCTGTGTGAATGAGCGATGGGAACAAGTAAACAAGTGAATGAAAGGGTGAGTGAGTCACCTGGAACAGAGGTCAGAGCCGACTGCTCTCAGTCCAGGCTGGGTGGGCCCTACAAGGTTGGGTTTGCATGATGCTTGTTTTAACTTTTTTTAATAAGTTGCCAGCAGTTACAAGTCTGGAAATTTTATAGCAGGATTTGGGGAATTCTTGTAAAAATTATACATCCATCAACTGACTGCGATGGAGTCATAACTGACTTGTAGCTAGCTGGCCTTCCGCTGGGTTTCTGAGGCTGTAAATCCCATGAGAGGAGATTGCCCATCTTTCTCCTGAGGGGCCAATAGGGGATTTGAACCACCAGAGAGGCACAGCCTCTGGATTAGCAGCGAGACTCCTTAAAGACTACACCGTCAGGGCTCTGCCAAAATCCCAAAACTCTAGCCCTGACTAGGCCACCTTTTTCTTAAGACCTGAAGTAATTTATGATGGTTTCCTTTAAACCAAGGAACCAGAAAACAAAACAAAAAAAAACCCCAAGGAACCCTGGTGGCATAGTGTGTAGTTTGTCAGCCTTTAGGTTGCCAACCTAAAGGTTGGCAGTTGAAATCCACCAGCCACTGAGTGGGAAAAGACAGGCAGTTAGCTCCCATAAGGATTTACAGCCTCAGTAGTTGAGGGGAAGATTGGTCACTAGGAGTTGAAATTGACATGAGTGAGAATGGTGGGTTTGATTTTCTGTTTTTCCTTTAAACCTGATGCTTGTGTGTGCTCATCACTGCCACACTTCAGGCTTTACTTAACCCCTGGTTGCACTCTCCCATTGTTAGCTATTTGGCTCCTCTGTTGGAATCTGCCACACCTTGACCTAAAGGCACAGCCTGGAATGTCTTCAAGTGGAGCTGAGTCTCTAAGTCCCAGGCCCTTCCTTCCTCCTCTCCAGAGCTGTGCAAACGTGGGGCAGGGCCCGGGCTATGCTTCCTAGCCAGACTGCCTGGTTTGACAATGGTGCT